AATTCGGAGGCCCCAATTAAGAATTTTGCACCTAGTTTGCAGATTCGTTTACAAAGCCTTTCTCAAAAAACGCCCCACCAAATTTTTAACGTCCTTCCTAACGGTGCCTACTCAGTTGCTGTCTCATCCAAAGGCCCTTATCGTCTTCAACTGGTTGCTCCACAAGGCTGGAATTTCGTTCCAAAAGACGGATATGATGTCCAAGTCACAGGTGCTAAACAAAATGAGGAGTATGTTTTCTTTCTCACAGGGTTCGATGTTAGTGGTCAGGTAAGTGTTCATATAACCAAATTAAGTTCTATGATGTGTTTTTTGACCGCCCTTATAACTTCCATCGTACGCTTATTGTAGGTAGCCACTGCGGGCTTGAAAACCGGCCCGCCAAACTTATATGTGTCTGCATTGGCCGGCGCAGAATCTCCACATTCCAATGTCGTGATCACTCAGAGTAAGACTACTGCCGACGGCAGTTTCACCCTCTCCTCTTTGTCTCCGGGAGAATACTTGGTGGCCGTCAGTGACTCAAAAGTGATAAATGGCCAGGAAGATGTCAGGTCAAGCGCCAAAATCACTGTATCAACAAGCAGTTTCAGAATGCCCCAACCTTTAGTCCTCCAGGTTAGTTGATTACTTCGTGAATTGTAATGTGCACATGAATTACCCTCATGGTACGTTGTTAGAAGTTAAAGACAAAAGATCTCGGGAGTAATTCAGGCGTTCAAAACTGTTCATGCCCCCCTAACGACATGTTACTGTCTACAGGGTTTATATTTTTGAGAAATGATGCGCGCTCTAAGTCCTTAAATTTGTATTCGTTCCGCATAATGTTCTCAGAAACTCTTAGATGTAAGCTATTCGATTGTTGAATCCAGAAGTAAGTCAAATCGTGTAGAATATGTCGTGGTTTTTAATCGTTTCGCCGAAGCTTTTACAGCCCAAGTAGTCGCAACGTATTGTTCGCTAAAGCTTTCTGATTATCCATTTGTCAAGGGGTATATGGCTTTTAGTAAATTTTATGGGTCTTGTGAGACTGATTATGAGATTTCATATTCATCCTCATGCATATTATCTTGTCCACATGTGTTACGGATATGGCCATCGTTGCGCACAAGTTGTAATTTGATCAGAAAGAGGTCAATGTCTTGCAGTCGATTTTCAATAAATGCTTCCTTAGCGTCAATAGGGCTACATTTTGTTAGGGAATGTTCGAGCTGGGAAATGAACTGCTTAAGACCGAATCGGTCGCGAATTCCAGTTCCGTTATCAAATTGATCATTTAAGTTTACCGCCTCTGCCCTGTGAATATACGCTCACTGACTATTTTATGTCCTCAGCTGTGGCCCTGCCGCGCATATGTAACTAACTTGCTGAATTGAGGCTCAAATAACAACGTCTGTGCCGAACTATCAATCAGGCCGCCGTCTTAGTTTCCCATATAGAACAAACTCGGACAATACAAACGAACATGCGTGTCCAAGGAAGCAATTGAGAAGAAGACTCGATCACTGGGACAATATGTTTATTCGCCTGACGTTTCGACATCCTTCGCGAATAAACATATTGTCCCAGCGATCGAGTCTTCTTCTTCTTCATCTTCTTCTCAAACTCAGACAAGCCTACTATTCCAGTTCTTTAACAACTTGGATGCAAGATTCCCCCAAGGAATAATTAAGCTGGAAAAGATTGTGCAATCCTACTCACTAATGGGGACGCAATGATGGAACTTAGTAGTATACCACAAATTTGGCGAAGGATGCATGCAGAACGGGGCTTAGACTGATATTTAATCCTTTTTCCTCCTGTTAGATGTTTTTTTAATCAACCGTCTCCCGGCTTGTGCTTAAATGCTTCTGTTATGTCCGATATTGTATCACCCACAGGAAGCCCGTTCTGAGCGCCACAAAGTAACTGTGATAAAAAAGAACCGGCGTAGGTTAGGATGTTTCGAGGTACCGAGACTATCGACTTCCACGTAGATTGCTCTAGGTGAGGAATTGAAAGGTACCCTCGCACTGCAGACCCAGTTGATATCATCTATAGACCGAACTGTCAGAATTATGTCTCGACGTTATTACCTGTAATTCGGGGGAGGCGGGTCAACCTCAGAAATTCGGACTTTATAGGGTAAGGACTTCTGATTCTGTAGTCTTTTTTTCCGGCCTTTGCCGA